AGTAGTTTTGTTCTTACTTCTGTTCACCGTTATAATAAGAAACCTTTTCTCTTCTCTTTAGCTTCAACATGAAACAACAGAACACACATTAGTAGTTTTGTTCTAACTTCTGTTCATCGTTATAATAAGAAACCTTTTCTCTTCTCTTTAGCTTCAACATGAAACAACAGAACACACATTAGTAGTTTTGTTCTAACTTCTGTTCATCGTTATAATAAGAAACCTTTTCTCTTCTCTTTAGCTTCAACATGAAACACAGAACACACATTAGTAGTTTTGTTCTAACTTCTGTTCATCGTTATAATAAGAAACCTTTTCTATTATCTTTAGTTGGATGGGACTCATTTAGAAACAAAAGAGAGTCTGTAAACGTATTCTGATTAACAAACCTAACAAATGAAAAGATGTTGTTATTCTCAACAATGAAGACTGTGTTCTTAAACTTCATTACATTCTTACTGACCATGTTAATTAATTATTTTAATAAATATGTAAATAAATGATGTTAACCTGATGTTCTACATTTAAATTATCAACTGACAGTTTACTATTAAAGATGAAGTGAACAGTTTTTATGATGGTGTTCTGTATTTTGTTAGTAGTTAACCACAAAGCTACATAATGGGCTATCTGTGCTGTGTCCACCATGGCCAGTCTCTAACATTGGAAGTCCATGTCAGTAACACAAATCCAAACATTGTTTCTATATCATACAGATATGGTGGTGATTTTAATATAGTCATTACTAATTTAAAGGAAACAGTAAGAAGGTCTTGAAATGTTATCTTAGAACTGTTACTCACCTCACCCTTATTTACGTTCTGAAATGTTGTTTTAACATCAAACAATTTAATGGTATATGTTACATGAAACAGAGAATCAAGTAAAACACTATTACGTTTACACAGAAATCATAAACAGCCGAGTGTGGTTTCTAAAATCATCAAACTTAGTTCTAGTACTAAATAAAAGTATTTGGAAATTTCTGAAATCTTTATTTCTTCCTTCATCTCTTAGCAGCCCCCCCCCCTCCCAAAAAAAAAGAAGAAGAAACTGAAGATTCTCCTGTGAATTTAAATAATTTCTTTATAATCATAGGAGAAAAATTGAATGTTTTTTATTTCAATATAATTTTTTGTTATTACATTTAGATATTTCCTTAGAAAGTTAGAGTAAAAAAAAAGCGATGAGTCTAATATTTCCTGAATTAAACAGTTACCGATAATCTTTATTTCTAACTCTACAGGTCTCATAAAATAACAAATTCAACATCGGCTTCAAAAAAAAGATATTCCTAATTTTGAGTTGTTGACCAGGAGGGGAGATCAAGCTAGTCAGCAGAAGTTTTCCATCACAGCTACCTTAACCAAAGACGATATTTATAACATTTGCGATGGTACATACGCAAGGTACGAAGCTTTACCATTATATCAGTGATTATGGAGATGCGAGTGAAAATAATTACCCAAGTGGAGTTGATACGTAAACTGCTTTAATCGCACGGAAATCAGAAGCTCCGTTTCATCAAGATCAATAATAACATGCTCAGTTCTAATGTTGTTTATCGTTGTATGAATGACTAGACTGACTGTAGTTTCGTCCTCTGACCAATCGTACCTATAACAGGACAAACAATTCAATAATGTACGTTACAAACATTATATATATACAATCCTTAAAGTCATCGTGAGCTCTGTGGAATGGCACCGAATGTCAAAATTGTGATGTAATTAAAAACATTCTACACTCGGACCTGATTGAGGTTGGTCCAGGTCACACTTGGGGAGATTGTGACCAAAAAACAAGCACTTGGACACTGAAGATGTTGGTAAGGCAGTATCTTGTAAACGTAGAACAGTAATTCTTTAATCATCTAGATTACTTATAGTAACTGAGGCTGTTCAATACATATTCTTTAGGACACGTTACAAAACATTACTGTGACCCCGTCAAAAGTTTTGTAATTCAATAGACATGATCATGAAGTGCAAAAAAACAAAAACAGTTTTATAGTTAACATCACGTTCTGACATTAAAACTGCAAAAAAATATAATGTTTCTAACAAAGTAAACCAGCTTAATTTTCCAGCATAAAATAACATTAACTTGACCTTGATACATTTTCTGAGAAAAAGCCCATAATGTTTTTAAATAAACGACATTTAGTGGTCTTCAACAACAGATATATATAAACAGTTTTTAATCGCGACGTTAACTCCAATCAGCATTCGTTAATTATTTATTAAAACTCGCTCACTTCAAGGCAAAAATTATAAAAACAAATACCTTCTCTATGATTTACATAATCTCACACGACACAAATTTCTAACTATGAGAATTTCAAGGATTTTGGTGGTTTCAAATGATAAATTCATTATTTAACTAAAACATGCCACAGCTAGGTAACCTAATCCTTACTTTTGAAATGATAAATTCATTATTTAACTAAAACATGCCACAGCTAGCTAACCTAATCCTTACTTTTGAAATGATAAATTCATTATTTAACTAAAACATGCCACAGCTAACTAACCTAATCCTTACTTTTAAT